CAAAATCAGTATCCATCCTTTAATTATTAAAACTTTGTTACTTCTAGGAAACCATCTACAAACATTTTTTGCAATTATGTATATTGTGATTACACTAACTATACTAATTTGAATAATTGTAGTGCTCCCATGTTATCACAATCATTGTCTACAAAGGTGTCAATATAAATGTTTGATATCTTGGACTACCTTCAAGTCGAAATCAAAAAAATGTCAACACTAAGGATACCGGCTGCAACTTTTGATGATGGTTGCTACCATCTTTGTGTCATATAAAAACGATTGCAACCACCTTTGCAACCATTTTGTTTCCTTTTTTGGATTGCGACATGGAACACTAGTCAATACACTAAAAGAAAGTATGATGAAAAATATTAAATGAAAATGAATTTACTGAAAATAACGAAAATACAGTTGATGATGGATCCGGGTAATGTTGAATCAGCAACAGATGACAGCAACAATGGAAATTTTATTAGAACATGCAAAAAAATTTTTGGATTGTAAATTTTGTTTTTATTAAATAAATTTGTTTGATTTTTCATACATTGTTCATTTTTTGTCACAATCATATATCTTAAATTTGTTGTGTTTACAATCATTCATTGACATTCATTATATTAAGGTTATTTTGATTATATCGAGAGATATGGTCAAGAGAAAAGTTAGGAAGAGAGTTATTCTTTGACCAAGTCAAAAACCAACCCTTTAAATACATTTTCGAGTAGTACAATTTAATTTATTAGACTATTTCTTCCAACTTCTTAAATTCGTTAATGAAACAATTGTTGGTGAAGTGATTGTTGACAAAATGAATCAAACCCATATTTATTTCTACGTTATCAAATTCGCGATTTTAATTGGTCAATCAACAAATTGCATGGGTTAAAATTTTGTATTCCCTCCTGTTAATTTTTGTGTTCCCAGTACGTTCTCTCCTGTTCCCATATATATATAAGATTGAAAAACAAGAATTTTATATGGGAGATGATCTACCAAATACCGAATTTTTGGGTAAAAATTTAGGGAAAAATGGTTTTGTTTGTTTTATTTGTTTTATTTGTTTATTTATTTGTTTTGTTTGTATTATTCGTTTTATTCGTTTTATTGTTTTATTCGTTTTATTTGTGGTATTAATATGGACCTGCGAGGATTTTGAATATTTACTTTGATATGAAGCAAAGGTTTGGTTTTGGTTTTTTGTTACTGTTACGCATGTGTTGCATCCGGATCGGTAATGTGTTAATCCATTGATATTAAAATAGCAAATATTATTGGACAATATTAATAATAAACCAAAACATTTATTTATAATAATATTTATTTTATTTAATTTTTGTTTTGGAGGATGGATTGTTTCAAGTTGTGATTTATTTTTTAATTTTTTTAAAAAAGTCAGGTTTCATCCGTGTTCTTTTACATGTTTCTCTATATCGTTTAAAAAATTTTCATTTCATTGAAAAATAATTAATAAATCTAAACACAAACACTTTGAAAGATTGTGATAATTTTATTTTAATTGTAATAGGCAGGATTCATACTGTATTAGATAAATAAACATGGTCAAAAAGTTCTCACTCCAGCATAAAAAAAAAAAAATCAATATTATTAATGGATTAATGGATTGTTAATTGTAATATTAATATTGATATTATTGTTAACGGGTTAACGGATTGTTAACTAATCCTGTAATAATAAGCTAACTGTAATCCGTTAACAACCGTCATGCAAAATTTCTTAATATTAACGTTAACCTGTCACAACACGGTAATCCGTTAATACCGAATAAGGCCTCTTAACACTAATTACGCATAAACATTTTTGTTTAACTTTTGTAAACTTTAATTGTTTAAGTGTAAAACGTAAAAGTGCTAATACCAATTGGTAAAAGTATTGTTAACAGTTATTACCGATCGAACACCTATACAAAGAGCTAACAGTTATCGTTATCACAGGTTGTATTGTGTTAAAGCAATAGTTGTAGAAATATGTCTGACTTTAATCGACCAAAGAAAAGTAAAAGTTAAAGTAAAAAATAAAATAAAAACTTTATAGGAACCTTTGTTGCTTTTATTATAATTCGTTGTTATTTATACTATAAATTGTGCTTGCAGATTCACAGAAGCATTCTGGGCACAACAAAGCACGATAAATTCGTAAAATAATTAATTGAGGTTGACCAAAAAGCTATCTCGCAATACTCCAAACATTTTATGTTTAAAGAAAGCTCAAGACTTTTTCAGGACTTCAAATCCCAGGACTTAAAGTTCGGTCCAGTCCCAGGATAGAACTACAAGTTCCAGGACCAGACTGAGCGGTTACAGACCGATTAACATATCTAGTTCAATAACATTTCTCGTGTTACATAATTCTGCTTAAATATTCAACGAGATTTTAATTTTTGATTTAATTTTTTTTCTCTAAAAAATTAATAATAAATAATGATAGAAAAAGGAAATGCAGCAGATAAAGATCAAGAAATCAATAAAGATAAAGATACAAATACAATACCACCAGAAAACAATAAAAAACAATGCACAGAAATGAGAAATTTTTATGTGATAGCAAGTGGTTATTTACTTTTTACAATGACTGATTCTTCTTTAAGAATGACTGTATTATTAGAATTATTTCAACGTAGATACAATGTAATTTCTCATTGATTTATTTTTTTATTTTTATTTGTTTTCTGATCAAAATAAAATTTTTTATAATGATTTATCTTTCTTTTCTAGGCACTCGAAATCTCTTACATGTTTATATTATACGAATTTATTGGAGTTTTTAAAAATTTATTTGGAGGAATAATGGGATCAAGATTAGGATTGAGGTTTTGTTTATTGGTTGGTTTGACAGCACAAGTAATTGGAATAGCCATATTATGTGGATTACAAGCTGATTGGAGTAAAGCAGTAGTGATCATTTATGTAGTTATTGCGCAAGGCTTCAGTGGTATTGCAAAATATCTGGTCAAAATAGGTGGTAAGTCAGTTACAAAACTAGTAACAAATGATCAAGAAAAACCCAGATTGTTCAAATTGGTTGCTTGGTTGACTGGTGCGAAAAATTCGATTAAGGGTGCTGGCTTCTTCTGGGGAGCTTTCCTCCTGAATTTTATTCAATACGTTCTATCATTGATTGTTTTATTGTTGATGAACTTGATCATCATGCCACTTGCTTGGTTTTATCTCGATGGAAATTTGGCTGTATCCAAATCAAAGAAAAAATTAACTTTGAAACAAATCTTTTTCAAAGGAAGAGATGTAAACATACTAGAATGTTTTTGTTCGGATCACGTAATTTATGGTTTGAAGTTCCACTACCATTATTTTTACGCGGACCTTCAATTGGCTGGTACGTAAAATAAGTTTTATATAAAAAAAATAATGATGGTAATAACAAATAATATCTACCATATATATATAGGTCATATATTCCAACTGGAGCGTTCCTCGCAGGGTGGGTGATGTTTTATGTATTTATACAATCAATTACTCCACAGCTAATTTTAAAACCAATTAAACAATATCCATTAAAAAGTGGCAAAGTTTTAGTTCCGGCAACATTTCTTCTACTATTATTATCAATTGGTGTAGCTATTGGAATGACTGTAGTCCAACCATCGCCATCCATCACATTAAAATATGTTTCATTATTAGTGTTATTATTTGTTGGGTTATTTTTATTTGCACTTATATTTGCAATAAATTCATCAATACACTCATTTCTGATATTGGCATATTGTAAACATGATAAGGTGGCAGCAAATATAGGATTTTATTATATGGCAAATGCTCTTGGTAGAGCGTGGGGTTTAATTATTGGGGGGATTTTGTTTTATTATTTAGATTTCTATGCTTGTTTATGGGCATCTGTTGTATCTTTAATTTTTTGTATTGTGATTTCTTATTTCTTGGGGTCAGTTCCTCGACCAGATGAAAATGAACCTTAAAATTTTATATAGTATAATTTATCTCTGAATAACTTAAAAAATAAAAATAAATAAAAATACATGTAAAGAAGCTCTGGTTAATGAGCTTTGACTGTACAACCTTTTGAACGTTTCAAAAATTAAGGCTTTTTCTGTATTGGATAATTTTTTATTATTACACCGAATCATTTCAAGACAATAGAATGAATTCATTGGCAGTATTTTTATACATCCAATTCATCAAAATACTAGATTAAAACTTTTACTACCATCATAATGTCAAATCACGTGTAATAAATTGCATCTGTAGTTTGAAGCAATGCAAATACCTCTATATCAAAATAACATCTAAATGTGGATGACATGCATGACAATAAACAGTCCACGTAGTGTAAAAATAAACATTTAGTTACGTAGATACATGATTTCGTAATGAACACGTTGATTGATAGTAATAACAATTAATGATGGATAATGGTCCACAGTTATGATCTCGTATATCAGCAGCCACTCGAATCAAGAATCAATCACCGGATAAATGTAGATTTCAAGTAGAGGCTATTAGGTGCATTAGTTGGAGGCTTAAAATCGTTGGATTATAAATGCAAAAACATGTTTCTTGGCATAAAAAAAAATGTTCAGAAATCCAAAAATAGTAATTTCTGGCCAATTATAAAAATTCATAATTTTCAGTTTTTTTTATTCGATGAGTGCACTCAAAAACATAGATAATAATAGTAATAATTAGTCATCTGAGGACTATACGTGTGAAATTCTATCATTGCTAATACGTGTTAATTTTAAAAGAAGTAAAAAAATATTTGTATAAATAAATGAATACGCTCTCTCTCCTCTCCTCTTTAACAAGTTTAACAAATAAAACCTTTGCCATGCGACTCTTATTTTGCCAGAATAAGAAAAAATTACAGATCTGATTAAAATACGTAAACAGCTTTCAAAAATTGGTGATTTAATTATATCAATGGGGGGTTTTTTTTTTGACAGTTAAATAGTTTATTTGATTGCTTTTAAATTTTGCTTTTGCTCTGACATGATTAATTGATAAAGAATTAATATAAATTTTGAAAAATGAAAATTGCATTATTTAAAAAAACAACTTCATCGCCAAATTCTAGTGATTGATTTATCAACAAAAGAATTTTGTTTTTTATTTTTATTACTTTTAAATCTTCAAAATTAAAATTTGCGACTCTATGTAAAAATTGTTCTATATATCAGTGTTGACCTGTCTATGTGTGTTTCAAGCTCGGGCACTAAAAACAATTCGAACGCGTTTTGATTTTTTCATTTTATGAAATGTAATAATAAAGAAGAAATATTAGTAACGATTGTAAAAGCAATATTGTAATGGTTTAATCTCTAGAAAAAAAATATACGGAAAAATTTTATTAGTACAAATTTAATTATTGAAACGAGAAATACGAATTCTTCACATTGATGTTGTTTGTTATTTATTGTTTTAAAGTTTTCTATTCAAGTGAAAGTTATTAATTTTGAACATCCAAGTTACATTGAATGATTGGTCGTTTGAATAACAAATAATTGAGGTATGTATTATTACAAATAGAAAGTTTTCTGGGCAAAGTTGATACTTTTTTGTTGTGATACTGAAGGTTGTGATGAAGGTTTGGTATCCTATAATTATAAAAGATTCTTTAGATGTTTTTGTTTGCTATTTTTTTTGGTATATAATTTTGTTGTGCAGTATAAATATAATATAATATGATTTGATAGTAGATAATCATTTTGAGAATAACTTGATAAAACTTTGATTAAATCCCATCATCTAAATTTCATAGGCAGATGGAGGTTTAAATCATATATGGATAAGTTTGAATTTTCTTCACATATGGCAAAGAAATTTATTTATCCATATTTATTATTGATAATGTCAATGATAGAACTTTGTAATATCGGATCATTGAAAGAGAGAAGAAAGCCTTTACAGTCCAAAGAAAAATATTTTATTTGTAATATTTAATTGTCTTGTTGAAATATAAGCGCTATAACAAAATGAAATCTTTTTTGAGTGAAAATTCTCTCCTTCGCGAATTAAATTTAATTTAACAACTAGGAAACTTTAAAAAAATTACCTCCATTTAATTCAATTCAGCTTTAAAAAAGGAGTCAATATAACTTGGCTATAACAAATATTTCATAGAATGATCATTTTTTCCATATGTTACAAAATTAACTGAAGGTGGATTTAGTCCATGTTAAAAGGTTATATAATTGATTACTATGAAAATAAAAAAAGAATTTTGTTTAATCGAGGGAAAAACATTTTTTAATGAGGCCAGTAGCTTTTATTTAAAGCAAAAATAAATGACGCGAGTTTCAACAATAAGACCACTTGTTTGCTGTGTGAAACTCTATCTATTCCTATAATTATTATTTAAATTATTGATAATCTGGGTATCACTTTTGGGCGTGACTCAACTAGAATACATGTTATTGGTCAATTATTAGCTGGAAAGACAATTAATTTCTTCTTCGATCACATTTAAACAAATAAAAAAGGTAAATGACATCGTTTGCACCCATGACGTTTTCCTTGCGCAAAATAAAAATAATACTGTGCGCTTTACAAGTATATGCCAACGTAAGGCAGAACAACTTGAGTGGAAGAAGAAGACAGTTTTTGATTATTCTCTCTTGTTCATCCATCAACTAATTCCATGAAGCCAATTTAATTATTTATTAATTATTTAATTATTTAATTATCATCATCATCATCATTATGCTCTAATATTATTTTTAATAATCTTCATCGTTATCATAGACATCAACTACTTTCATATTATCATTATAAACATTATTATAGTGATTAATCAAGCTAATATTATTAAGATCGTTTCTAATCAAATTCATTTCCTCATCTTCATATTCTTCATCTTCATATTCATATTCATTGTGATCCGTTTCATTTTCATCATGAATCATTATCTGATCATTCATACATTCTTCACAAACATAAATCCTTATGTTAACGAAAAAAGAATGAATTATTATGAAAAATTATAATTGCAAAATTTGATTTTATGATCAAAATTGCATGTCGCTTACACTTTTATGCTTTCATTACTATTTGCATGGTATTCTACTGCCTCTGTTAATTGAAAACATTTATCACACTTAATTAATGATCTTTTCATAGTTGGATCATTTAATGTTTCTTGTGTAATTTCATCTTTAAGATCTCTAAAAAGAATGTTTCGAATAATAAATATTACTATTAATGTTATATATCATTGATGCAAATGTTAATAGGTGTGCCAAATAATATTGATTCCTTCTTCTTCAGCTTATTTGTTGCTTACCTGATCTCGTTCGTATAATTCTTTGAAAATATTTTATAAGATTCTTCGGTAGCTTCTTGTGAAAATTTACAACAACGGCATTTTAACAATAATAAATTAATATCACGTTGAAATATTGGTCGTAAAGAATTATGACTGGAAAATTTAAAAAATTAATTGATTAGATCAAATAATAATAATAATCATAGTAATAATTTTGAGTTTTTTTACCATTGAGGACACCAATGAATTTTTGTTAGTCTTTTATTGCTCATTTTCATTAAAAAATGTGTTGATATTTATTACTTATTAATATTAATAAAATAATTTTTGATCAGATAAGTGAAACCTTTAATTATTATTAATGTTATGATATCATAATTAATGGAAAATAAATTTACAAATTTTTATTCACAAAAGACCCAGATGACTTTCCAAAAATGCCGATCATTAATCAGTATCCAATTTACTCCTATGACGTTATCTAGAATATATTAAACTTGTTGTAAGACTACATAAATTTTGTGGCTCTTCTTGGATATTTTCTGATCTGTTCCCAATGATATAGAATCAAAGACCCTGGAAACATTCTCTTGAAGACTTTTCCATGTGCAATTTCTATGTTGCCTAACATATCATTTAGTTACCCCTATACATTTCAATGTAGTTAAGCTCATAATGGAATTTTGGAACCTTATGAACACTTGTTTCAATTAATTTTTGAAATATGGGGGGTTCAAAGTCATCTTGGGTTGCAAAGATATATCTAGCACAACAAGTCAAAAGAAACTTATGAGAGAATAATAATGAAGGATCGTTATTTTTATATTAGCAGCTGCAAATTTGTTACATGTTTTAATTTTCTTTTGGATAAAAAATATGTTTTATATATATATATATTGTGAGATAGTAAATCTTGGACCTACTAATTGTCCCGATTAGTGTTGATCAATTAACACGAACTTACTGCGGAAGTCATCTGATCACCCAGAATCAATCGTGAATTCATTACTTGAGGTATTTGAGGAATAAACAATTTATTAATAACGAAATTTATTTTCTTCAATTCGTGAAACGTGTAATATGGAATATTCTGATTTTTATTATTCGCAAACAAAGCGATTTCTTATTTATTACAATCATTGGATGACACAAAACAAATTTATGGAGAAAAATACATACATCCGTAATGAGGAGTTTGAGATCAACGATTCCGGAAGTATAACGCGAGAAGAAAATTTCTTATGAAGCTGGATTTTGATGAAGAAATCCTTACTAAGAGACCATGTCAACAAGTAGTCGCATGAGTGTGTACACGTCTATGAGCCATCTAAACAGAAATAATGTGAGAACATACAAAAGAGACGAGATCACATGTCCGCAATACGATTGATTGGCCTTCTACATGTTCGTTTTATTAATTTATATAAAAGAAATTAATTTTTAAAGGAATAAAATAAATTTGTTATAAATAAGTTCTCTTATTAATTAACTAGTTAATTAATTATTTAATATATCAGAGCCGAGCTCATGGGAGGACAGAAAATAATCCTAAATTATTTCTTTACAAATAATCTGTTCCGTAATTAAAAATTTCACAATTTAATAGTTTAATAAAATAAAATAATTCATTTTTCGCTTGTTCGAATACTTTTGTGGTCGAAAATTAAACAGTAGGACTTGTTTAATTGTCTATAGTGGCATAGAACTCCGAGGTTTTGTTTATTTGCTTTAGTAAGAAAGCAAAGATTTGGTATTAACCAGTGTAGTGTTAACGACAGATAATGAGGTTTGTTTATATTTAGTAAAGAAGCAAAAGTTTGATTTGTGTTTAAGTCGTTGTTATGTGTAAGCGATTTGTAAAAGGATTTAAGTAATTAAGTATAGACGTAAACTGTTAAAGATGTTCAGCAAAGTATAAAGTGTTCGATTAACCAAACAATTTATTAAATGAATCAGATTATATGTGTGATAGAAGTCGCATGAAAGGCATATTGAATATATAGTGTGTTGCAAAAAAAACCGGAAAATCACTGTTGTCAAAAAACTTTTTATAATATCACTAAAAATTCATCAACTTGACTCAAATAAATTTTCAAACAAAGCTTTGCTTTTTTAAATCAATTTAAACCATTTTCTAACTGAATCTTGCAATTAACTGTTGGGTAATTTGCTTTTAAAATTCACAATATGGTTGAATTTTACTTGCAATTATGTTATTAGAATAAATGAGATACATTTGCCTAATAAATATACCAGATTGTTAACACTTCATTCCCAAATAACTATTTCAATATTAATAAGTTGTATGAAGCAGGCGATGTGGCTTTTAGGAGAGTTAATCGTTTGAAGAAACGGAATCACCTTTAGAATCACGTGATATATCACAATTTTATTATTATTACGTACTAGATTTCTTTAAAATTTTGATAATCAATTATAAATAATGTGATAGAAGTTAAAATTTAAAGAGGTGAGACGATTCATCATAGAAAAGTGGAATCCAACTCTTGATTTATTTCTAATTAATTTACTTTGATAAAAAAATCAATAGTAAAAGTATTTCGTATTAAAATATACTCAATAAAAGTTCTGCTCTTAACCTATCGAATGGAAATATTTTTTATATGAATTAATGCAGTGGTTGTTCCATGATGAGTAATTTGATTTTTCCGGTTTTTTTTTGCAACACACTATATATATAAATAACGCAATTAAAATTAATTTTGACGTGTATAATTTGAACTGTTCAATGATCCAATTAATGATAGGATTATTGATATTTGGCATTGAATTTTCTGTTGATTGCCTTTCATATTCATCAACAGTGGGTGGGGAGGCAATTCTAGATGGCTTTCTTGAGCCTGCTAGTTTTTCTTTGGTATAATCTATTCGATAAGTTTAAGCTAAAGGAGCTAAATGACTTCATTGCTTTATTCCCTTCGTCCAAACTTTAAAAAAAAAGGATTAGATTTAAGCAGCCTTTCTTCCTCGACACTACATGGTGCTTTGAAAATCTGGTGTGAATGAGGGCTTGTACTTTCTTGCATGAATTAACAAATACAAATATTTTCACGCAAGCGAGGTTGATCCCGTATCTGATTGTGGTAAATATTTTATTCGAAGCTGTTAGTAGCCAAAAAAAAAAATAACGGTATTATTACTAACCTTCATAATTTAATATAATTTCTAGCAGCAATTACCCAATGTTTTGTGTTGAAACAGGCGGCACAAGTGCTTTTAGTGTTTTGTTTACCTCCTCAATTATATCCTTTACCTATCTAACTTTATCTTTATATATATATGGGCTTTTGTGTTTGTAGACCTATCGTATTGATTATTATTTAGGCAAAGAATGGACAAAAATCTTTCGATAATCAGATTTGCTAATGTTTTCTTTAGTACAATTTGTAATCGTCATCGTATTTCTAATATTCAAATTACATTCAGAGAACAATTTAGTACAGTAGTTATCTTGTATTATTCATGATGTTATGCGAAATCGTAAGCTATTTATCATCATTGTCCTTTTTTTAAAAAAATAAGTTTTTACTTATGCATTTGTTAATTGTCTGCTAGATCTTTTGCAAATTTTGAGTATTGTTGCCGTGGAATGCCCTGTATCACTCGCCAAATGTTGAAGATGTTCGTGATGAAAAAGTTATGTATTTTATGGGAAAATTATACAACTATATACAAATTATAAGATATTCAATTACTAATCTTCATATTCAATATACAATATTAAGTTCGTGTTTTACGTAATATTCCGCCTGTCAAAGGTTTATCTTCTTTGTATATACACAAAATATTAAAAAAAATTGATTTTCATTACTATATTAGAGTTACGCGGCCATCCACAATTTGATTAGCGCATTTTTCCAAAAAAATTTTTTGAAAAAACTATGAGTGATTTAAGATTAATAACTTCACTCGATATTAATATTGAACCAGTGACAAGAAAAAGATTACTATTTTCGCGATTCGAAACTGTCAAAGATTTATTAAATATAGATATTAATACCTTAAGTGAAGGTATTTTAATAAACACGTGTATATATATAATAATTTATGAATTTTAATGTAAATTTAATATTTCTAGAGTTACGTATTCCTTATGTAGAAGCTTTTGATATATTAGAACAAGTTAAAAAAAGACCAAGTATTAAAAAATATAAGATGATAATGATAATTTTCAAAAATTGTTTAGTATTTATCTATTTATTAATTTAATTATTTATGAAGAAATCAAATATTTAACAGGAATAGAAACAAGAAATCACGAAATTCAATTAAACCGTATTTCAACGCTTTCTAATTCGTTTGACCAACTACTTGGAGGTGGTGTTCAACTTGGTAAAATCACAGAATTTTATGGTACACTGACTGTTGGCAAGACAACATTAGGGTAGGTATTAAATTGAAAGAGAGAAAAATGAATGTCTTTTTTCCTTGAATATTAATTATATATATACATACATACATATATATATATTAGATATATTAAAAAAAATATGATTGATTGTTATGTATTCAAAATTAATAGATTTTTGTTGTTGATCTGACTAGAATACAATTATGTGTTAATGTTCAAATACCTGATTGTTTAAACGGTCCTCAAGGAGAAGCACTTTTTATAGGTAATCATGCATAAATGTTTATATGACTATATAAAAGATACAAGTAAGATAAATATTTATAAATATTTTTGCTTTTAAGACACAGAAGGAACTTTTTATCCTAGCCGAGCACAAGAAATTGCTAGAGAAACTGCTTCAATAATTCCTGTTAAATTTGGAATGGGTATTTATAAATAACATTTTAAATTATATTATAATATATTTACCTATATCAATATTACTATTATATTTAGATGAAGATACTATACTATCAAAGGTCCATGTGAAAAGAGTTGTACATTATCTTGGCTTAACATTTGAATTATTTAAAGATTCAGCACTCAAAAATTTCATTAAAGATCATTCAGTAATAATAATAATCTATGATTGTTTATTTTTATATTTAATAATTTTTTATTATTAAACTTTTATTTTTTATTTTTTTTTGGAAAATTTACAGATCAAATTAATTGTAATAGATTCAATTTCATATTTATTTTCACAAATTCATGATATTAAAATGAGAACTCGATTATTGAACAAATTTTCTCAAGATTTAACAAAATTTGTTACAGAGTTTGATCTAGCAGTATGTGTTTATTAATCTAATTAATTGATAATGGTATATGTTACTTTTCTTACAATATATATATAAATATGATTCTTATCATTGATAATATAGATTGTTTTGCTTAATCAATTAACAACAAAAATAGAAAAATCAGAAAGGAGTTCTGCAACTTTAGTTCCTGCATTAAGTATTTAATTTTACATTAATTGAGAAAAATTATTAATAATGATAACTAATTATAAAAATGATATAGGTGAAAGTTGGGGGCATCATAGCACAAATCGTATTGAACTTTATTGGCATAATGAAATTCGGTAAGTTTTAAATAATAAATCAATAATAGTGGTATTAATAATAAGATTATTAATAAAAATTTTTAACTCAGATGTGCAAAATTAATAAAGTCTCCATACTCTGATAATAAAAAACCAATACAGTATCAAATCAATGTAAAGTATATTAATACAAATATATAAATGCTTATGCATATATTTACTGCTTATACATACATTTACTTATTATTTAACAAATATATCTTTTTTTTTAATAATTAAAACAATAGATGGGTGGAATTCGTGACTACTTTAATAAGTGAATTTTTTAATATCAATATATAAATTTTGATGATATTAATATTTGATTAAATCTCGCATGAGTGGATAATTTATAGTGAGCAAATGGATGATTGATTGGTTATATTATACAGGAAAAACAATATTTAAGATATTTATTAAAAAAACAAATTTAGTTCATAGATTTGAAGAAAGATGTTGGTGTTAATTGGCAACGATATTCCTTCCATAGCCATCTTTGTACTGTTATTGTAAGACCTTGGGTAATTATGTTTGGACTGGACTGGTATGCAAGGGAACATATAAAAAGTTGTAAATTCTACCCCAAAAGTTAATGCCATTTTTATTACAGCAGTGTGTAAACCTAATTTTTTATGCCCATTTTTTCCACCCCACCTGTCTGATATAGTTGTTATCATTTTTACAATAACTTATATGATGTTTTCTTCTATCTTTTTCTTTATGAGAATTGTATTCATGACTAGATTCATATTTTGGTAAATAATCAGGATTTGCTGGCAAAGGATTTGTCTGAAAATATTCATGATTCAGGGCTTCAAATACACTAAGCTTTTTTTCTGGATCTAGCACTAGTAATTTATCAAGTAAATCAACAGCCAAGGCATCATAGTTTCTGTAATTGATTAATAAGCTGTTATTAACTGAACAATTTATCAATAAATAAATTGAACTTACAATTCAAATTCATCAAAAATGATTCTTGGATATTCTCAAAGAGTGAAGGATAATACAACTAGCTATCTTTTCCATTTTGGTCACTTTTTCTGAAGGTGCGCCACATAACTTGCATATTTTTAGAAGTTGTTCAATATGTGAATTTCCCATTAGTATAAGGCAGGTTTGGCAAATGTGTAATTCATTGGTGGTTCATTGGTGATTTATCGGGTCCATAATTAGTATTTTATTAATGGCAATGGACTAGTCCGAAGTCCATCAATTCTCAATGGACTAGTCAATTTGCCAACCCTGGTATAAGGCATCTTTTAAGAACTCCGCCGAAAACACAACCAATGGCCCATACATCAATTGCAATAGTATAAAACCTTTCACCTAATAATATTTCAGGTGCTTGATACCAACGAGTGATCACACAAGCAGTCAAAGCCTTATTTTTTTTACAGTAAGTATTATAATAACAATATTAAAATAATTAAAATTATCATTTCCACCTATAATTAATGAAATAAATCTTGAAACAAAAAGTACATTAAATCTTCAATTACAAACAACTTGTAACTTCTTCATTTTTTGCAAAGGTAGATATTTACAAACGTGTTATTTATATGATATCATATATAAATGTAATTAGGTTATTAATATTAATATAATAGATTATTGACAATGTAATTTGTATTAAATCCTGGCTACATTTCTATAATCAATCCAACGGGATATATGCAAAATTAACTATTCATCCACCACAACAAAAAATTCTGAATTAGAACAATTTATTTCAAGAATGAAAATAATGACTGTAATATTAAAAATTCATTAACACATACACATATAAATAAATATGTACTAAAGTATTTATTATTTGTCGATAGAAACAATTGGTTTTTTTCTTTCTGCTTGATAAGGAACTGATCCTTTTTTCGAGTGTCTTCGTAGATTTTCTTCTTTTCGTTTTTGAGATTGTAACATGATCCGATGTTTTTCTTGTGCATTCTTAATTGGTTTTGGTATATGCCTGTGTCTATTTATATATTATTTTATGAAAATAGCAACATATTAATTAAATGATTGATTGATTGATTGATTATTGTAATTATTATTTACCTTGCAATTCTTTTAACCTCTGGAAGATGTTTATAGCGTGCTTTAAGTTTTTCCGAATACTCCAAATATGATCGTTCCCTATAATCTCTCTATAAAATAAACAAATAGAAGAATAAATACACAGATCTAATAAAGATTGCACATAAATCAAATTTTAATTATCTACTTAATCAAGAAAAATTTCCCATAATTTTCCTTAACACATACAGGACCAATTTTTTCAGATGCATTAGCTTTCCAAAGTCGAACATTTCCATCATCAGATCCTGAAAGAACATATTTCGAGTCCATACTAAATTTGACACAGAATAAACGTTGCATTCGTTTTGTGTGATATATATCTCGACTGTGACCTTGACGTGCTGAAAATATTCTAAGAGTTTTATCATATGAACCGGTAACTATTTCTTCACCTGTTGGTGAATAATCTACATCTAATCTATTTTGGTAATGATTTTTTCAACCATAATAATGTTATTAATATTAATATTAAATCAATCATCATCATAATATTTATCAAATCTCTTTCTAAAAATAAAATTAAAGAATACTTTACACAGCTGAAACATGATCTTTGAGAATGTTTAATGCACTTTTCATTTTTCTCATATCAAAAGTATAACAATTATGATCTTCATTAGCCTTTATAATTTAATTAATTTGGATATATTAATACAAAATTATTATAAAAATTTATATAAATTATTATCATTATAATTAATACATACTGCAGTAAAATTAAAAGCCTCCATTGGATTCCAAGCGATAGCATTTGTTCTCATCTAGACATATTCGCAAATATATATAATATTAGAATAGTTGTTGTTAGAAACATTTTTTTTTAAAAGAATTATAACGGACAACATACTTGCAATATTAATTTTGATACTGGAGAGTTCGTCCTTAGATCATAAAGAATTATTGTTCGATCTGTGCCACAACTTGCCAGAATATTTGTCTCTGTTTGATTTAATCTTACAGTGTTAATTGTATCAACTCCCCAATCCATGCTTGTAATTGGACGTGATCTTAATAAATGAATGAATAGAAGAATGAAAATATTATTAGTAATGTGATATATAATTATGATTGAATATATATCAATTACCTATTTTCATCCCACACTTCAATTTGCGAACCAGAGGTTACAAATATTGGTTTTGAACGATGATGATCTATCGCACTAATAATTTGTCAATGTAACTATTCATTTTATGAAGAAAAAAAGTTTTTGGATACTTTATAACAAACCTAAATGCAGATTTTCCAATATATGTATTTACTGGCTATAAGTTTATCAATTAAAAAAATAATAAGGGACGATATTTAAGCTTTTCAAAATAAACCTATTTTTTGAAACAAATAAAATTATACCTCATCGTTATTTTCATCAGGATTCCATATTTTTACAGTTTTATCAGTTCCACATGAAAAATATAATCCCATATTTAAAGCACTACAACAAATCCCTTTGACAGAACTTTTATGTGCAGTTACTTTCCATACACTTTCTCGTTCTGCTAAATCCCAAATCCTCAGTTCTCCATCAACACTCCCTGAAATAATAGTTGCCAATTTTTTGGGATGTTTGGCCATACAATAAACACCATCGCCATGACCACTCAAAGCCCCCACAAATGGTTTTGCAAATAGTCTTTCCAATTTTACAGCATTAAGAGCCCTTGTATACTCGACTGCTTTTTCAAATGGGTGCAATTTGGAATCAAAATTTCGTTTAATTTTGTGAATGTCCTGTGGACTTTCGCGCGTGTACTCTGAAATGTCGCGAGAAAGGACTTTAATTTTCTATTAAAAGTTAAAATAATGTGAACATTTAATACATTTAATATAAAAAGGATTTTATTATATTGAATATATATATACCATGATTTAAATTATTTTTTTATGAAGAAATTTTTTTTATTTTGATCGAATATATGCAGAAAAAGGAAATTCGTGTGACAATAAACGTCAAACATTTGTAAAACCGCTTCAGAATTTGAAATTGCGCTTGCATGTAAATGGCAGAAACTCGCTCAATAAAAATGCTATTCTGTTGTCACAGATTTTTATCTTTTAAGAAACGATCAACATTCCTTTATCCCATTAATACTAAGCAAAGCTTTCGTCCGATACAAAAATATAATCTTTGAAAATTTTTCCAAATACAATTTTTCATGCAAATATATACTTCGATTAGTCGTTTTTGTGTCAGAAAATTTGCCATCTTAAAAATTTTTATGAACGAAATGTTATAATCGTAAAGAAAATTCATACTCTGCTGACTTTAATATGGTATAACTTTCAAAACCATAATTCGTAATCAGTTTCCGAACCCAATCAATCAAAACTTTCCGCTCAATCCCCTACAATGACTCATTATTATTATCATACTTTGTCAATTATAGCTTTGAATCATCAACGTTATTACGTGTTTTCGACTTTTAAAAAATCAAATTTTAGTATTAGCTTCGCCAACAAATCCAATTGCTATACCATTTATCTTTTTTATGTGACATACCTTACATCCTGTATCATTAACAATATCAATGTTGGTTATAAGCCATTTGATGCTATCATTTATAAAAAATCAATTAAATAAATCGCATGATCCAAGTAAAATTATACTAAAACAGGCGGAGTTGGAATATTAAGTAAATTAAGCCCTTGATATTTTAATGAATCACCTAAGTGCTTCTGCTATTTTCCTTTATTTTTTTTTCTACAAAAAAAATAATATTATAGACACCATTACAGGAGGAATATTTTAAAAGAAAAGTGAGAAAAAAGTTGTGTTTGAGATAGATTTGTGGAACTAGTTGGTTCAGATGACGAATGATCGGATTTTTAGTTATAAATCAGGAACTTCCAATTTACAAAGACATAATGGATAGCTGTTACAACTTAAATAATAGTTGTAAACTTGTTATTTATTATTATAAGATT